GACTCGCTGGTCAGTGACACCAAAGTAGGGAAGGTGCTCCGGCCAGCCCTATCTTACTGGCGATGAGATCACCAGCGATGAGGGTGGCACCAACGTGTTCCCCTCATCAAGCCGCGTTGGTTGGTGGTGAAGATGTGACCTAGGTTTCACCGGAGACAGCTCGCCGGCGGTAATGGCGGACGGCGGAGGTAGCGCTACGATACGCCGGCGTTCTTCGGCCATCATGTGCTCCAGTGAGGTGCGCTATAGCTTCGTGGAATCCTAGCGAAGCTATCTAGGGTGGATAGTGTTCCGGTGAGGCGGTGGTGAGCTCTGACCGCGTGCATGTCCGCACAGCGACGCACGGAGCACGGCGGTGCTCCCACCGTTTTGACTAGACATCGGTGAGAGGCGGGTCTCCATCATGCCGCCCGCTAGGTCTAGGGTTACTCAACCTAAGGCACGCAAGAGAGGATGGAGGTGATGGGCCAGCTTAGCAACGGCGAGCTCGAGTGCCACGGCGGCTGCACGCAGAGCGACGACACGTTCCGGCGCAACCAGGCGGTAGCATCTAAATGGATGATGTGTTTAGATGCTAGGACCTACAGTGAAGACTAGATGAGAGAGAGAGTGGAGGTGCATGTGTTGTGGCTGGCCACGACGAGCTGAGAGCGCGGCGACGCTCTGGTGATGGTGCGGTGGCGGTGAGGCAAAATGGGGCCTTACCAAGGCGCGACGTGAGGTAGTAGTGGTTTAGGGAGGTAGAGGTGGAGGTGGCGGAGCTGTTGGCGTGAGGAATCGAGCGGTGGAGCTACGACAGCAGCGAGCAGGCATGGCGGAGCGACGACGATGGTGCGGTGGCGCAGTGCTCCGCTTTGCTTTGGCGTGGGCGAGAAAGCGAGGTACGAGAGCGAAATGGGGCGAGCAGCAGAGGCGCACGCCTCTTCTCCCCGCGCTGGCCTGACCAGCTGGGCCGGCGTCGGCGTACGGCCGCCACACGACGTGCCTGGCCTGCACCTGGTCGGCCACTGATGACGTGACGTCCGTGGCCATCAGGCCCGCAATCAGTGACTGATAACACAAGTTCAGCTACCTCTATCTCCTAATTCGTTCGTTATTTGCAAAAACTTCATTAATAAGAATTGTAGAGCTACACAAGATCTCCAACTTTGATTTAGAAAACTTCCTCTAATTCTCCATAGTTTTTAAATTGCAAAGCTTCAAAGCAGGGTACATTGAAACTGAAAATCATTTCATGACTTGGTAATTTTTTCTAAGTTGAAAATAGTATTTTGTTGATTCTTATGATCCCTATTTGACCATGTTAGACACTGAATTAGCTCTTTACCCAAAAATAAAAGTTGTTACTTTAGTTAAGTACTACAACTTTGCTTAAGGGTGCACAGCCATGTAAAGTCTCTAAGGTATAGTTCAACTTAGATCAAACATGCAACTTGAAAATGGTAGATTACACTATAACCATGACTTAGAGGCCAATTTGGTCTAAGTCATGAATACCAAAGTTGTTCCATGTGACATTCTAAGCATGTTTAAGGTACTCCTAGGGTCCCACAAGCATTTTATACATTGGTCACATATAAACCCTAGCATATATAAAGCATTTAGTGACAAACACATGTGATATAAGCAATCATAGAGATAAAATTTGAGATGCTCATACTCATGAATGATCAATGATGCTTGTGCTCATGCAATGTCAATGCCAAATGCATACTTAACACCTAGGGTGTTACACGACCGACCCAGCGTGGCGGCACGGGGTGATCGCGCGGGACGTAGCCATGTGCGCGGCGCGAGGTGGCCGCGCGGTGACCGCGCGCACGGCGCCAACTATCCCGAGGCTGTGTCGTGCATGAATTTTAAAGCTCTCGTAAAACCTAAACGAATGATCTTGGAACCAAGCCACCTTCACCATGCTCGAGAGAGCATATTAGGCTACCCCTAAGAACTAAAACATAGTACTAATCTTTAACTAGATTTCTCGGAATAAATTCGCAAACTCGGTGCTGTCAAACTGTTTTTAAATTTAAGAATTTTCTAAGTCTTTAAGCTACTTTTGATTTCAAGTTCTATTTCTAAGCTACTAAAAACACTAGCTAGCAATGTTATTTTTCTACAGCAAGTATTTTATTGTCATCTACAAAGTTCATACTCCAAACTTTAGTTAAGTGCCACATATATGTTTTATAGTATTTTTGTTCAATAAAAATTAGTTTTAAACCCTACTTGATATACATGAGTTGTGTAATAGCTTCTCATTTAACATTTTATTGATCATTTTAAGTCACAAAAAATTTATCTACACATTCCATCACATGCATTATCACATAAACATGATGCTCATGACAGGGTTTAATGGTTTGTTTAGGGTGTAACACCGAGGGTGTTACAGCCATGGAACTCATCTGGCCATCTATTCTCTACCGTCATCCAACTGGTGTTGCAAGAGAATGGATGGTTCATATGGATTTGATGACAGTCATAAAAACCAACAAGAACAAGCCATGAAAAAATAATAACAACAGCAAACAGTTGTTCAACCACCTCATTGTTTTTTCCACATTGTGCATCATAGGCCAGATCAAAAACCCATTTTAGGCACCAACTCATGAAAACATAGGTATCAAATCCAAGAAATAACAAAAATATACGAAAGCATGAAGTGAAGATTCAAACAAGGCCATCCCCAAAATCATGAAAGCCATAAAATCCATGGACACATCCATTCACTGCCATCCGCATGGTATGAGCATGCTGTTGCTAAGGAATGGATGTGTCCCACGAGTTCAATGACACCCATGAAAAGCACAATGTAATACAGTCCTTCCAATGCAATAGGAACATGAAGTGACAAATATAGTAGCAGTAGCAGTAACCAACACAAGTTTGTCTCCAAATAAAGGTTCAGCCCACAACAAGTAGGCACTTAAGTGAACTACCTAGTTACACTTGCTCAGATATAGTTAGCCACCCTCCAACTTGGATGTGTGGTAGTGGTAGGAGGCTTGATCATTTTATTTCTAAACTCACCAACAACATAGAGAACTTGGTGGAAGACTCTACTAACTGTACCTCCTAAAAGACCGGTGAACTACCCTGAATCTCTGATTGTGATCAACAGCATGGAGGAACATTGCAACTTGCTCCTCAACAGAACACCCACTGATTTCTCTAACAAGGCCTCTACCTCTAAAAAGGTTGCATAGAGCAAAAAAAAAAAAGAGCTATGGTCATACGCAATATAGCCAAACACTCAGTATCAGTGCTGTTAAATATTATTTAGAGGGTGAATAGCCTATGCTGTTGGCTTAATGACCTAAGACCATAAGGGACATGCTCTAGTGGGCCCTAATTCTTCTCAGTCTAGTGACAAAAATAAAAGCATAACCACAACCATGGCAGTTGCTTGCCTAGCCATCATCACACGTTGTGCAATTGGATCCATCTACATGCATTCAACATTCAAACATACAACTCAGCTATAGTAGACCCTGGCTGGCCTCAACATGAAAGTGCAATCATTCATATCAAAAGCTAACAGCACGACTGCATAAAAAATGCCTCCAGTGCATTGGACAGAATCATCATCGACCATGAAAGAATTAACATTACAGCATATAGCGGACAGGTTCATCATCGACCATATAAAAAGTACCAACAATGCAGCATAAATGTTTTAGTGCTTGAAATCAACATTCATAGCAACTACACAAACATCATGTACCCAAATAATCATTCTACAGAGACAAATCGAAATTAAAATAGGGCAACATGAAACCCTAAAATGAAAGCAAAGGGGATTTGGGTGGGGGGATTTTACCTCGGGGGAGTCGACGGAGACAGGAAGAAGCGCAAGACGGAGAAGAAGAAGAATCGTAGTGGAAGCAGAAGTAGATCCGGTACGGGATGAAGCAGATTGACCCCAACCGAGACCAGCCGCACCACCGAAGGAGAAAGGAGACGAAGGAGGAAGATGACCGCGTCCACGGAGCCCGGCAAGAGGCGCAGCAGCGCTGCGCCCAAGCGGATCCTGACCGCCTGAACGGAGACGAAGACCGGAGAGGAAGAAGCCCACCGCGCCGCACCGCACCACCACCACACCACCACCGCCCGTCACTCAACGTGAACGCAGCGGGGAAGACAAAGCTAGAAGAGGAGAAGAAGGTAGCGAGGCAGTGAGGGAGGAGGGCGGCTTATAAAGGCAGCAGATTTCGGTGAGGAGCGTGGGAAGAACCGCACGAGCCCGCGCGAGCCACCGCCGCCGCCCCAAAATGGCCCGCGCGAGGACGAAGGGAGCCTAGCTCTAAAAAACGAACCCTAGGAACGTTCCTCCGGATGCAGGAGAGAGAGCGCGTTTTACATGCGTGGAACCAGGCCGCCAGCTGGGCCAAGCCAAAAGCGACGAGGGACATTCGCGTCCACAAACTAGTTAAGATTAAAATTAAAACTTCTCAAACGACTTTAATTGTGCAAACACTCTCACCCCTAAAACTGACTTCAATTTCCGGTACAAGCGAGTACCGACGTAGGGGTAAACGCAAAACCATATTTCCATCGAAATCGGGGAGGACCAGAACGCCCTCTGTCCCCGGGAAGCGGTCAACGCGAGGCGACCTGTTAGCAAATCCGTAATTAACTCTAATTCCTGAGCCCAATTTGATAAGAATGCGATTCGCCCCGCGGAAAAAATACCTAGGCCACGCCAGGTCTCCAGGTCTCCGTGTCAGGTCACCGCAATCCAAAGGCCGCACCTTTCGCCTCCGGCGCTAGGGTTTCGCCTGCCTCCCAATTCGATTCCGCGAGTGCACCAGGACCAGGTACGCCCCCACGATTCCACCCTCGGCACCCAGATTCGGGCTCTGGTTCCCCTAAATCTGTGTTTTTTCGTGGTGTCCAGGTGATCTTTTCCCCCTTGGTCTGCTGTGACGTGGGAGATGCCGCCGAAGTCTAAGAGGGGTGGCGCTGCCGCCGCGAGGAAGGCGCCGGGGGCGAGGGGCCGGATGGGGAGGGCGCAGGCTGCTGCGGAGGAGGCGCCGGCTGTGGAGGAGATGATGGAGGCGCCTGCTGAGGAGGTGAAGGTCGCCGAGGAGGCCCCGAAGGTGGTGGAGGAGCCGAAGCGGCAGCCCTTTCCTCTGCTGCCGCAACAGCCGGTGGTGGAGGAGAAAGGCTCCGATGCCGCGGCCAACGGTGCCAACCGGGGCGAAGGTATTGTTTTTGCTCCTATTTCGTGCATAGGTCGTGGACTTCTGCTGTGATATGTCATGCGGCCTCAGAGATTTAGATTATTAGTTGTAGCATGGCGGTTGTATTATGCAATAATCCCTATTATACTTGGCGGAACATGAACACATATTTTGGCCATTCTATCGGTGACAAGCCCAGGATATTTATTTTGATGCCTGTGGCCATTTGGCATTCTGTTTTGACAATGACTACTATATGTTTTACTAAGTTTGAAATAGAACAAAGAAGATTATGTGTTTGTTGTAATTATGGCTGATGGGCTCTGCTCTATATGGGTCAGATACTGTTCACTGTTTTATCTTAAAATAAGCTGATGGGGGTGTGTCTTATGCTCAAATTTTTAGATGACGGAGTTGCAAAAGAAACATATGAAGAAGAGGACAAAGGTGAACGGCTGGAGTTTGAGGATGAACCAGAATATGAAGAGGAGGCTGCTGTAGACTACGATGAGAAAGATTTGGAGCAGTATGAGGAGCAATACGAGGATGGTGATGAAGAGGTGGAGTATACTGAAGATGTGGTTGAAGTGGAGACATATATGGTGGATGAGGAACTTGATGAAGGTGGTGATGATGGGGAGGGGGAGGGATACGAAAATGCTGACGAAGAACATCATGTGGATGTGGATGATGAAGAACATAATGAAATGGTCAAAGAGCACCGCAAGCGGAAGGAGTTTGAAGTTTTTGTTGGTGGGCTGGATAAAGATGCAACAGAAAATGACCTTAGGAAGGTTTTTGGTGAAGTTGGTGAGATCACTGAAGTTCGTCTGATGATGAACCCTGTCACAAAGAAGAATAAAGGCTTTGCCTTCCTGCGATATGCAACTGTAGAGCAAGCAAGGCGTGCTGTTTCAGTGCTAAAGAATCCACTGGTTGGTCTTAAGATTGACTATTTTATGTTTCTGTATCTTTCTCACAAATGGCTTACATGTTTTATTTAATATATACTCCAGGTGCGGGGCAAACAATGTGGCGTTGCTCCAAGTCATGACAATGATACACTCTTTGTCGGCAATATCTGTAAAACATGGACAAAAGAACATGTATGACAATTGAGATTTGTTTTTGTGATTTTCATTTGCTTCTTCACTGAAGAAATAACTTGTTTTGGCTTTTACAGTTGAAGGATAAACTGAAGAGTTATGGGGTCGAAAGTTTTGATGACTTACTACTGGTTGAGGATACTAACAATCCTGGGATGAATCGTGGCTATGCCTTGCTTGAGTTTTCTACTCGACCTGAGGCAATGGATGCTTTCAGGATATTGCAGAAGAGGGATGTAGTCTTTGGAGTTGATCGTAGTGCAAAGGTTTCCTTTGCTGATTCCTACCCTCAAGTCGATGACGAAATAATGGCACAGGTGACTACTTATTTTGTACAGTAATTATAACTTAAAAATCAATCATGAATTGCCCATTAACACGTGTACCCAATAGTTTCTATGTATCTACCTGATCTGTTTAAACGTTAAAGTTGTTGCATCCTGATTTATGTTATTTATGATTCAGGTCAGAACTGTATTTCTTGATGGCCTTCCTCCCTCATGGGATGAAGACCGTGTTAAGAAATATCTCAGAAAGTATGGAGCTATTGAGAAAGTCGAACTTGCTCGAAACATGCCAGCTGCCAAGAGAAAGGATTTTGGGTTTGTTACATTTGATACGCATGATAATGCTGTTGCTTGTGCTGAAGGGATAAGTAACTCTGAGATTGGTGAAGGTGATCACAAGGTCTGTTTTACAAATTGCAACTATATTTGCAGTGTCCATATAAATATATATTATGTCATTGTGCTTTTTTTTTGTAATGATTGCAATTTCCCGATTCAGGCAAAAGTAAGGGCTAGACTGTCGCGGCCACTACAGAGACCACCTAGAATGAAACATGGATTGAGAGGAAATTTTAGAGTCGGGCATGGTGCCCCACGAGGTGGCCGTTTACCGTATGCTCGTGCTCCTCCACCTCGCAGGCCTCCGCCACGTCTTGTTCGACCTGCTGTTAGTCGCTTACCACCCCTCAGGAGCCATCCATTGAAGCGGCCCATAGATACTAGAGATAGGCGTCCTGTTATGTCAATGCCGGATAGAGCTAGGCGTTTACCTCCTCCAGAGAGAGCTTATGACAGGAGGCCCCCAGGTTTGCAGGCCTTATATGCAACTGATTCATTTGTTTTTCAGTGCAATGTATTATAGTTGTCTCACTTCTCCCACAATTTGTTTATGTACAGCTCCAGTTTATCCGAAGAGAAGTCCAAGGAGAGAATATGGGAGGCGTGATGAACTTCCTCCTTCAAGGAGCAGAGCTACGATTGATTACAGTTCTAGAGTTCCAGTTGATAGACGTCCCTCTTTGAGGGATGATTCTTCACCCCGGGGATCAGGTTATTCAGACTTAGGTCCTCGTAGTGCCCCGCGTCTTTCTGATAGACGAGCTTATGCTGATGATAGTTATGGGGGGAAGTTTGACCGGCCTTTACCGGCCTATAGGGAGGGCCGTGGCCGTGATTATGACACCATTTCTGGATCAAAGCGTCCATATGCAGATTTGGTGAGTGCGGTTTATTTGTTTAAAAATGCCCAGGCCTTGAAGTTTGGTTCTCAAATCAACTTAATCATTGTAATGTTATGTCAAGGATGACGTGCCTCGGTATCAAGAAATTGGTGTTCGTCAGTCCAAGGCACGCTTAGACTATGACATTGGCAGCAGTGTTCGGTATGGAGATGCATATAGCGAGAGGTTGGTGGACTTGAGACCGAAGTCTTTTCTTTTCTTTTTCGCCTAATCATTTATTCTATTCAACATGCTACATTTTATCCTCATAGGCCTGGACGACCACATGCGGGATATAGCAGCAGCCGATCTATCCCTGGTCATGATTCAGCATATGGCAGCAGCCGTCATGGCATGAGTTATGGAGGTATATAGTCTTTGAAGCTCTGTTATTTTTTAGGGCACCTTTAGCCATGCACTTATTTTATTTTTCATAATGTCAATTTGCATTCTACTCTTGCAGGTTCTGCTAGCAGTGCTGATGCTGGTGGTATGTACCCACCGAGTTACAGTGGTAGCTATGGGTCTCGTGGATCTGATGTGAGTATGAAATACATCCAATTTTACTACTAACTTTTTATTTGGGATTCCCGAGTTCATTTGAATTTTGCATTTGGGCAGGTTGGTGGGAGTTCATATTCTTCGCTTTACTCCTCGGGCCGCAATTTGGGTAGCAGCAGTGGTGGCTACTATGGAGGTAGCGGTTCCAGTTCATATTACTAAGGTGCGAAATCAAATCTTTCCACCTTTCCCCAAGTTTGTTTCATCGTGCTTAAATTATTTGTACCGTCCCTCATCTCTATCACACATGCACACATCGTGGTGCTATTGTTGGGGATGAGAAATGTTTCCCCTTGTGTATCAAAGATGCGGGAAGTCCAGAACCATAAACTACTTTAATTACACAGATTTGGCATCACCTCGTCTTTGTGGAACAGATTTGGCATCATAGGACGTTGGTGTAGGCCCAGCATTTTATGGAGCTCCTTGATTTAAGCCCTACAGATCTGGAAAAGAAGTGCCAAGCACCCAAGTGAGGCAATGTTTTCAAATAAGACATTTCAACGAAGCCAGACCATCGAGTTGGTTGAAGCAGTAGTCCTGAGGATGTTCTGGCTTGTTTATGTAATGTAAGGATTTGCTTTATCTGGTCAAGAGTTATGAACATAAGAGCCAGATATGGTGTTTTAAGTGTTTCGACATGTTTACTTCCAGTGTTTCTATAACGTTATTGAGACAGAAATGGAGTGTTCTTTGAGGTAGTTTCTGCAATTCAAGGTATTTGGGGATTACATCTTGTGATGTGCTGGCAAAGATCAGGCTTACAAAAGAAGCTTTACAAGGAGTGCTTCTTGTAAGGCTGTTAGTTTCTGAAAACCTTCCCTTCTCTTCTCTAGAGGATCAATAATTGCCAAGACAGAATGTTGATTGGTCAGACTTAAATTCTGGACTCCTATGTTGCGCTCCAGGTACAAATGGTTTTATCGGTTGCCAAAATTTGAGAGAAACCGCTTGTGTGGCAAAAATTTCCCCAAGCAGTTACTTTGGCTTCTCCAAAGTTTAAGATAACAGAACTTGAAGCAAAAGGACATTTGAAATTGAGTATAGCCTTGCAATACTATGACTATATAGAGCACAAGGCATCAGGTAAATTTAACAAGCAGTGCCAGTATTGAACACCACCCTGGTTTGATCACCCACCATTTATGAAATTCCTTTGAACTGCTTTGTGGAGTATGGATTACTAACAATTTTGAGATTAATGGGTTTTGGATGATTGCAAGCTTTCAAGAATCTTGCTGGAGGCGTAACACACTAACTGATCAAGTTACAGAAAAAGTATGATTTGTCTGACACCATTAATTTCTATGACATAATTTCATAACATAGTTTGGGACCAAACATGTAGCTCAATATCGTCACACTTAGGCTTTAAACACACCATATGTGTGATATATCTCATCGGTCTAATTTGTGATAGCATGTTTGTTTTGTGGATCATTTTTACCAAATGATAACCTACTTCGCCAAGAATTTACCTTTATATAAGTTGAAGAAACAAGGCGTGCTGTGTTGCTGTGTTTTGACAGTGACTAATTCTGCACGGCATCCTGCAAAGTAGCTGAAAGATGACTAGTAATATCAATACCCCAGCTATACAGGCCGCAGAGAGCTTAAACCTGAGCTTAACTTATAACTTCTGGTGTCATCCTTCTGTGAGGTTTAACAAGGAAACCTCATGCACTAACTTAGGATTTACTTGATCAATTGAGCTAGCGATAATAATGCTATTGGATCCTGAGGTCAGACTGTCAGACAATTTCGTCCTTGGAATTGTTTTTTGGAGATAACCTAGTGATGACACTGAGTAGGATGAAAGATCAATATGTAGTTTCATGAAGAGGCTGCTCTGAGATGGCTTTTGCAGTATTCAGAAACACATTTTTGTGAGCTTACCGATGTACTTTGAGGGCCATTATTTGTTACTTATGTGTTAGTAGTTATTGGAATAGGACTTCATGAGGGAAAATGATGATGGTATTAGATCTAGCAGAACTGTAGATTGCCAAATGTGCACAGAAGGAATACTTTATGCAATGGCATCAATGAGTTTGATTACTGGGAGCCAGAATGTGGGAATCAGCACCTGCTGGTGCTGCCTGGTTTGGTGCTCATTTGAAAAAAGGGCAAGGAGATTATTTTTCCTTGATGGGGCAAGGATGATATGTCTGAAAGCAGCGTGGCATGGAAATATTTTTCTTGAAAAACAGTAGGCACAGGATTAAGTACAAGAATACTCCATTCAAATTCTGAGTTGAAGGGTCTTGAATTTTTCCCCTCTTGCTGGAGCAAACTCAAGGATCTAACACAGTTTAGTCTAACTATTTAGTTAAGTATTCAACATAAAGATATTTTGGAATCACAATAAGTTTTTTTTTTTGGAATTGTAACTTTGTAAGGCACCATTAGTCCATATCAATTTGACCATCTGAAGGGCATAATTTCCATTGTTTTTTTTTCTGTTATTCACATGGCATTTTAGTAATGCTATTATCAAAGCAGTTGTTGATGCTACCATTGCTACCTAATAACATGCTACCGTTGCTGTTTTGATGCTGTTACTTGCTTTTCATGCTAACATGGCTTCAATATTATCATTGTTTTTGAGCCCTTTGAGAATTGTAGCCACCAGCATGCCTCTCCAAAGACGTGGGTCAAGGTTCAAACCTGTAATGGTTGCTGTCAAAAGCAGCCAGATTTCTTAACTCTTCTTGTGTGATGTTGTATTGCTCTCTAGTTTACCAATTTGAGCTTGTAAATAACACTGTAGACACGAACGGAACCGAATGTACAAAAATATAATGAACTGCTCATATGAAATGTCATATGGAGATATACTGACGTTTGTCCCGCGCGTCTGAATTTGTTCCCCAATTTGAGCTTGTAAAGAGCACTGCAGGCATGAAAGATACCAAATGTACAAAAATATAATTAAGTGTTTATATGAAATGTCATATGGAGGTATACTGACGTTTGTGACGCGCATGTGAATATGATAGTTTTATTCTCGGGCTATACGTTGTTGGTTTTGAATTTCCATCTTCCCGTGGCCACGCCGTGCAGCTCTGTGCGTCTGGCCTTCAGGCCTTCCGACCATGTTTCTGATGTTCTTGTGTGTGATGGGGACTGCCTCATGGCCATGAGAGATGCAGAGATGGCCATGGCCGATCATGCTGTGTCCTCGTCGCCTTGGTGCCCTACGTCTTGGCTCGATGCTCAGATGGATGGACGCGATGGTGGTGCGCGACTGCCCCGTCGCACACTTCAGAAAGTTCAGATGACGGCTCCATCGCCCCAATCCTTCTCTGTAGTGAACTGTCGTTGACATGCCGGGCAGCTCTCGCTGCCTGATGATATTACGCATTGATGCGTTCCACGCTGCCGGCTGCGGGCTGCGGCCTCCGGCTGCAGCCTGCAGCACGCGACCACCTTTACACCCTTACGTGGCACGTCACATCACGTCGCCCTTGTGCTGTGGCCACGCCGCGTCGGCGTCGGCGTCGGCGCCCCCGTCGCTTGGTCACACTCACACACGGACACGGCCCCTCCGCGCACGCCGAGGCCGCGCCCCCGCGAGTCGCCTTGCCGCTGCCGCACGCTACCCCCAAGGTGGGCAGGTCGCACGCGCCGCATGCCGCCGTGCGCGGCCAATCGCACGACGTGACGACCACCGCTCACCGCCCACCCCCGCTCCAGAAGCCAAATTCGGCCCCCGAAACCAAAACATTATTGCCAAGAAGAGACCATTGGAGTCCACGGGGGCGGCCCGCCCGTGATCCGACGGCAGTCGCGCCCGCTTCCGACGCATCGCAGCCGCCCAGCAGCCGAAAAGGGGGACGGAAGGGAACGGAAGCCCACCGCGAAATTTTACGAGTCGCACGTCCCGCGCCGCGCGGGGTGTCGGTCAAGGTGCCCCACGCGCCGCGGTTGGCGCCGCCGCCGCTGCCGCCCACCGCCGCCCGCGTGCGCCCACCGCCACCTGTTGCCGCCTAAGGGGAACGCCTCCGTTATAACCCACCGCACCATCCATGCCGTCCTCCTCCACCGCTTCACCATCCCCTCCAGGCCCACCACCACCACCATGGCCTCTCCTTCCCCTCCTTCCCCCGCCCGCGCCTCCGGCCGGCGCGTGCCGCCCCCGTGCTGGACGACCGACGAGACCCTCGCGCTCGCGCGGGCCTACACCGCGCGCCGCCTCGCCGTCGGCCGGGAGCACCTGACCTCCGCTGACTGGGCCGCCGTCGCCGCGGCCGCCCCGTCCAAGACCGCCAGGCAGTGCCGCCACAAGGTCGAGAAGCTCCGCCGACGCCTCCGATCCAACCGCCGCCGCCCGTGCCCGCTCCTCGACTCCATCGACCTCCTCGACGGCCCTTCCCCGCCCTTCTTCTCCAAGTCCCAGTCCCGATCCACATCCCTGTCCTCGTCGCCGCCCCCGGCGGCGGTTTCTCCGCCGTCTCCCCCGTCCCCTCCCGCATCCCCGCCCAGGAAGAGGCGGCGGGACGATGCCGGGGACGAGGACGGTGTGAGCGACGTGGTGGGGGCTCTGAGGGCCATTGGGGAGGGTTTCCTGCGGGCGGAGGAGAGGAGGATGGAGGCCGCCCGGGAGACGCAGAGGATGCGGATGGAGATGGCGCTTCGGCACCTTGATGCACAGAGGAGGCTCATGGACGCGCTTGTCGGCCGCATCGTCGATGCCTTGGACTGAAGTGGTGGCACAAAGGTGTCTCCTCAAGGTTTCCTGCTTGTCCTCGTTGCATGCTGGCCTGCGAGTGTAGGAGTTTCTTAGTGCTGTTTATATGTAGTAGCTGTGATGGATCTGTGATGTAGTTGAAGCGGACAAGCCTTAGTGTTTTTTCAGTCCTGTATTTGCTTAAAAGGAGAGTTTCTTATGGATGAAGAAGTTGTCTTGCCTGTTCCACATCTGTTGACTACTTGCCTCCTTATTTTCGTTTTTAATTTGTTTGATTTTATGTTCTGATGATAGTAACATATAACTAGTGATAACCTAAGGATGCTAGAAGATTAGAGCATTGAGTTCTGATAACAATTGTGTTTTCGGGCCCTGGACTTCTAATTCCTAGAAAAGAAAGAACACAATTGTCACTGCTATATCACAGATTTACATCATAAAAAAAAACCTTTGCTACCTTTGCCCCTGTAACATATGGACAATAATAAACTGAACTCAAGAAGCAAAATAATGAACTGGAGATTTTTTTTTCAGGGACTGTATTTTTTTCAGTCATTTGCTAGTGCCTCAACCTTTCAACTGAGGTCTGAGGCCAATAGTATCCTTTATATTTTTCATTTGAGATCCTGAATGAAATCTCACTACTGGGTTCTACTTTGCTGGTTGCACCAACCTATATGTTTGAGATAATCATGCCAAGGTTTCATTTTCAGTTACGTCCTCCCAGCAGAATACATCTGTTTAGTTCTTGTAGATTTTTTTGCTGTATGGAGCTGATATTCTGCATTCTGCATATTTAATTGGGCTATTGATGGAACTCAATACTCTGTGTATTGTATGTCTATGAAGAATTTCCTGTCCTGAAGTTGGATATCTCAATGACTGGATGGAAAAAGGGGGAGGCAATATTGGTTCTCAACATCCGCATATTAACATTCCTTGGGTCCATGATTGCTGCATCAAATATACATTTTGATACAATTAGTAGCACCGAAGCAAAAATCCTCAAGATAAGGTCGCACAGATTTCCCTTGAAAAGTGAGACAAAAGTTTACACTCACCTCTTGTATGTAAAACTATTGGTAAAATTGAAGAAGTTGGATTCTACATGCTCTTCTTTATATAATGAATGAGGTTATTCTTGAAAGACATGTTCTACTTGAAAAATTGCATGGTACAGAAAACGAACATGACTCTTAGCCACATGAATTATTTATGTTGGTTACAGATCCTTCATCAAGATATGTGGCAGTGCTGATAGGCTGTAATCCCGACCTTCATTTTATCCTTTATTGACCACCTTTTCTAAGAAAATAACTTCTGTGGACAATATGTAGTGCCTTTTTTTTATTACTTTTATGTGTTTCCTTTTGCAACTAACAATTCTATTTGTGTGAATAAGAATAACCATTCTCTTGTCGTTGGGTTTCTACTTTGAATCCTTCTCATTTCAGGACAATGTTTCTGCGTGCACATGTGTTTTGTGTACATGAATGTTCGCTACTGACAGTGGCATCTTTTCTTTCTTTCTTTCTTTCTCATTTTTCAGGAGATTCAACTTTTAGATGGTGACTATAATTTGTCACATACTACTCATGTTTGCTATATGTAATTTGTTCTTAGGCCCTCTTTGGCAGGCTCTGGCTTCTCCAAACGATGAAGCCAGGGAAAGCCACATTTTTGCTCTTTGGCTTCTAGGCGAAAAAACGGCTTCAGCTTCATCATTTTTTGCTTGGTTTTGGCTTCTCAAGCCATTTTTGCATGTGCATGTTTGGCAGGGCTTTTGATTAAGCTGGTGGAGAAGCCCCGACAAAGCCCTGCCAAAGAGGGCCTTAGAGAGAAGGGAAAGGCTTTCCATCTATTAGGCTAGCTTTCTGCAGAGCTGCAAGTTTAGTTACTTTGAATGACAAATCTGGGACTCTAGGTATTCTGTGGCCTGCCACAGTTCTGTTATTGTTCAGAAACTTCTTATCCAGTGAGAACAATACATGGATACTCAAAATTTTCCAAGTATTTTATAAGTTTTGGTTCAGAACTGCAATCTCATAGTTCTGTTTGTTGTCAGCGGATTCGGTGCAGATGAAGGCACCACTAACCACTTAAGTACGGCCAAACACGGCCTTAGTATGCTGGCATCCAGTCCTTTGGCTCACTGTGCTGTTCGACAATTGGATTACCACTTGAGATGAGCATTAAGAAATGAAAACTGAGGTACGCACATTGACTCGATGAAGCATGCTGATTTGAAAGCATGAAGACGCTCCATGATGTTCGGCTTTACTCCCGCATTCCATCATGTGTGGTCCTTGAAATTGCAGTACAATTATGTATGTATGACAGCCATTGTTTAGGGTTATCCTGTATCACTATTTAAAAGCCTAGTCTATTGAATATTTTCATCTCATGAGTCCTACGTGTGTCTTGATAAATTGTGAATACGTTCTTCCTTAGGAATGAACTGGATGTATCTTTTGAAATTTATATGGAGTCTCTTTTTATTTATAACATGAATACTGGTTATTTAGTTCTCAGAACTGAAATTGTCTGCTATGCTTCTTGTGAAAATTCTCATCTAGTTAACATCTTTTCCTTGACCAGTAAGGTTAGAGGATGTGCTTGTATGATCTATTTGTTCTTGGTGAGGAACTGACATTTTTTCTCGAACATGCAGGAGAGTTGTGTGCCTTTAGGCATCAAACTCTATGGCATGAAAGGTGAATGGTATCAATGTGTTCATGTGTTAAAGCTATCTGAGACTCTGAGTGAATCCTTTCTCCATACTAATGGAAATAATCTGAGTGAAATAGTATCAGTAATTCTGAAGTCTGAACACAGAATATTCATTTTAGTTTTCTCTGTTTATTTCTCTCCATGTCATGAGTTAGACAGAAAAGCAAAATCATTAACTTTAGCTTCTCATGTTTCATTAACAATGATTTTTATAGACTACACCAGTGCTTGTACATTTTTTAGGATATACTTTCCGGTAAACTTGGATATGATTATCTTGTTTTGTATCCTCACTCCTGCTCCATCATACCAGCTGCAGGTGAAAATAGTTTCTAGCTGGGGCAAGTCATGTTTGGTAGTTTCCTGCATTCTAGGGCGTTGTCATTTGTTGTGAAAATAGATAGATTTTCAAATAATTGGTCAAACAAAAACATGCCTTGCACAATCCTGCATATGTACCTCGAGTAAAAAGTAAGCACATGCCAATGGTTTTGGGCCAATCAGAAAGCACAAAAGCAGGAAAAAGGAGGGATTAACCTAAAGCAAAAGACTCTTTTGCACCATCTTTAGGCCTGGGACCATCTCCAAGATAGCCTAATTGCCAATCTATTGAGCTCCAATGTAACTTCTGGCATACCCCGCCACTGCTAAGATATGTCCAGATTTGCGTGATGGATCATTGCATTGACAATCTCATTTTCTTCTGCAGAGTATGTGGAGTGCACCCCATAGCAGACATAGAAAACTATGATCACAAGGCTCCAGATGCCGAACCTCTGGTATGATCTCACCTTGAGAGTGGTTATCAGGAACACATTCAGGAAGACAGATGCAGCAGCAGGCCATGGCATTAGAGGGACCGACCACTCCAATGGGGGTCCAGTGATGTCCTGCCGTGCTGTGCAGTGGAAGATGGTGGTGATTGCTATGGAGATTCCCCCAAACAGCGTCATCCCCCACCGGCACCACCCGTCGATCTTCCTCGAGAGGGAAAAGGCGAGAGAGCTCAGCGTGAGGAGCAGCAGGAAGAGGAGGACATGCAGGGGCCGGTTTGTGCCGATCTTCACATACCGGTGGTAGATGAGTGCGTTGGCGACCAGGTAGAAGACCAGCAGGGTTCCGATGGATATCATCTCAAACACTATTTGCAGCTCCGTGAAGAGTGCTAATGATGCAGTGCAGAACCCTGGGCAAAGAAAGTGCTAGGCTGTAAGAATGTACTGCAAAAAAAAGGGCTCTGGATTATCTAGTGACACATCTTTTCCGTTAACCAGTTAATGGAAATGGGACTTGTCTCGGGTGGGAAAAAAAATCTAGTGACACATCTGTGACTATGGATATATCATTGCCAAGAGTTAATTTACATCCATTAAGACCTTGATTTTACTATAGTTAATGTATACTGATCTTAACATGCTCTACCTATAGAAACAATGCAGGGTGGGCAATGAAGTCTGCACTTGTCCAGCTTTTTGGAGTACTTGCCTCCACTCTCGCGAGCTAGCTAGCCAACCCAGCACCAGAAGATGGATGCTTGTGTCCGACCTTGCCTACTGGCTAATGGAGTATCTAGCTCGCATGGTGAAGGACAGGAGGAGCAGCTTCAGAATTAAGGCGGTGTTTAGATAGAGGTGTAAAGTTTGGGGGCATCGCACGGGAGGTTCGGATAAAAAAAAAAAAATTATGGAATCTGTCACTAAACCATGAGGCGAATTTATTAAGCCTAATTAATCTATCATTAGCATATGTGTTACTGTAACACTTTATTGTTAAATTATGGACTAATTATACTTAAAAGATTCGTCTCGCAAAGTAATATCATTCTGTACAATTAGTTATTTTCTAATCTATATTTAATACGTCCGACATTCGATGGGACCTAAAGTTTTGACGGAGGAACTCAGCGAGGCTAAAAGTGCCTGTCTCTTGCTGCTGCTCGCTCGCCCGGCAGCGACCGCTGGAGCTCAGTGTGCGTGCGTTCCTGTCCGATGCCAGGTGCCGGTGGACGCGGTTCATCCGTTCTTGAGGCATGTGCATATTCGCCCCGAAAAACACTATACGCAGAGCGCACGCACATGCCAACACAGCTGGAGTTGCTGTTTGGCTTTTCTAGCTGCAGCCTGCAGGCTGCTGCGCGAAATGCTGCTGTTCTTGTCCCACTTCTCAGAGAAGTTTGAAAACCTTGGGGCGAAAGATGCTAGGTTATTTCGTTTGAATGCATTTTTACTTGGATGAAATATGGTTGCAGATTCAGGTACATATTCTTATCACTTCTGAATTTACTTAGGTCTTGTTTAAATTCAGTGTGTAAAGTTTTGATGTCACGTCGGGGTGTCGTACGGGGTGTTCGGATACTAATAAAAAAACAAATTACAGAGCTGAAAAACACTGTTCTGGTTGAAATGTTGTGAGAGAAAAATATTGTTCCGGCTGAAAAAAGAAGCCGAACAAGCCGGATATGAGGTAAGCCGAATAAATCTCGTAAATTATTCACAAACTATATAATTAATTATTTTTTAATCTATATTTAATATTATATGCATGTATCAAATATTTGATGGAACATGAAGTAAATTCTAGAGGAAGAACTAAACATGGACTTAATCTTATACACAGTTACACACACCAGCAGCTGCTGCCTGCTGGTACATATGCAAATGTGCTGTTTCTGACGGCTCCTGCATTTTCTATGCTGCTCACACATGGCACGGGGATTCAGGCTTCTCTTGTTTAGTTCGCGAAAAGTTTTCTAAAAAAGTGCTACAGTATCTATCATATCGAATTTTGCTCATGGAACATTAAATGTAGACGAAAAAAATTAATTGCACAGTTTGGTTGGAAATTGTGAGATGAACGTTTCGAGCCTAATTAGTCCATGATTGAACACTAATTGTCAAATAAAAACGAAAGTGGTACAGTAGTTAAATTTTCAACTTTCAACCAACTAAACACGTGCTAAATGCGGATGGATCTTGCGGGTGTTTATAAATGGCGATGAAATCTGTACTAGGATATATGGTTATGTAGAGCCCAGATTCTTGTACCTGTCATATTGACACCTGGCCTTGAAGGTAAGAGCCTGTTCGCTTGCTCGTAAACGATCGTAAATTTCCAGCTAATAACAGTGTTTTTCTCTTACACCAAACCAGACAACAGTAAATAATTCACGATACGATACGGCCTCCCAAACAGGCCGAAGATTTACTGGAAAGCAGTGTGAGGGCAAATCTACATGAGCCCTACGAGGAGACCATCAGACCATCAATATACTAATGACCATGTACTAGGCAGCAGCAGGTGCACGAGCATGGTGACGTGTTGATATGCGATTGGCTCTCCGCGGAGAGCATGCCTCAGGCACTGTTTTTCTTTTCTAGAACACGACTTCGCATGCCTCAGGCACTGTCATCTGCAGGCTGTGATTACTTCAAAAAACAAGAAGCTGCAGGCTGCTCCAAGTTTTGTCTCCTGCAAGTACTACCAATATCAATGTGCAGTTACTAACTTTCAATTAAAACAGCACCAAATGCCAGAGCTGAACTGAAAGGTGAGAAAATGCAGAAATAAATTCTAGAAATTAGCAAACGTTATATGTCAAAAATCATTAAGTATTGCAACATCCTCAACCAAATCCTGAACCCAGTAATTAGGAAAAGTTACTCGGAAAATTTGGCGTGCCAAGCTAACTCCCAAGATAAGATTTTCCTATGTGTTTTTTTTTCCAAAAAGGGAGTTATCCTAAGGATAACCTAGCTAGGAGGAACTCGGATGAGAGTAAGTACTGGTTTTGCAGTAGCTTAGAAACCATCCAACATCTCTTTTCTGAATGGCGCTACGCTTAATTCATATGGCATGCTTTGCATATCGTATTCGATATTTTTCCACACTTCCACCACCTCAAAGTGCTAGCAATTTATTTGGTAGTTGGTGTAAACAAGAGGACAAGGAAATTAATACTGTATTTCTAATAGGAGTAGGTGCTGTCGGCTCTTTGTTGGCTCTGAGAAATGATTGTTTTTTACAAATGCAAGCCTAAAATATATTTTCAGGTGCTGTTTAGGGGAACATACTAGCTTCAGTTATGAGCAATTACAGCTTAGTGACGACAAGAAGTAACGTTGTATTCAAGCCTGTCAGCCTGACGTACCTAGAGGCTGCGGCTATGCCTTTTTTCCCCTTCCCATGGATGAATTTTTATGTTTAGGACTAGACATATGCCTGTGGGTTTCACCGGGGTCATAATATTTTTAACTGACGCCGACATGTGAGCTCTGAGAACTTTGTATTGGTCGTGGACAGGTAGATCTATTCTTCGTATTGGAACCGGGTAGGATGAGGACGCGTGAGCTCCGAGTGGAGTTTTATTCGTATCGGACGCGGACTCTTGAGCAGAGATTGAGATTTGGTATCACCGGATAGATGATGACGTTAGAGTCTTTTTAGATGTAGAGATTAAAGATTAATTTTGTGGGTGAGACTGTGACTGTGAGTTGGGTTTACTTGTTTGGGAGTGTAGAGAAACTTGTAAAGTTTGGCCTGATTCCTCTCCTAGGAGGGATGAAGCCGGATTGTATTTCTCTCCATTATCTAAAAAGAGGTATGTCAGGCGTTAGACGATTGAGATATTGGGAGTAGAAACTGTTCTGAAAGTGAGTAAGCGTTTTCTGATCCAACCCTGATCTGCTTCCTTTTCCAAGGGAACCTCGATGAACTTTTCTAAGAACGCCATCTCTGTAGAAAGATAACATAGGAGGATGGCACCAATGATCTGACGGCTTGAAAGAGAGGCCAGGCGATGTCCAGAATAGTCAAAGATTCAGAGAGCATAAAATGATTAGTCTGAAAAGCTCTGAAAGATATATACAGACGAACTGCTGCATGAAAGCATCAAGAGCACTACTACACAAAACTGCTTTGCGCAACGACACAGCGTATAATACTTCAGAAAGGATAGACGGTTAAAAGGTTGCAGGAACAAGCAGAGATTGATGGATCGGTCTTCCGGGATGCAGCCGGCTGCCGGCACAGGAACAATTCGCCTTGGATGCCTCGTAGCATCTGCTGGCACTATAACTATAAGGGGTTTTTGGAGAAAGAAGAACACGCACGCATCTCCTTTTTGCTTATCGTTTCTGTGGCTTATAAGTCGGTTGATGCTGTTTTGCTGATAAACATGGCTAATACGATTAAGCGAACAAGGTTATGCGTACATAGGCTGCCACTAATGATGGCCTCGAAAGAAAGATGAGGTGACTCTGCAATTGTTAATCCTTTGGTTTGTTATAGGGGTTGCACAGAGCTGGAATCATCTTACTAATCAAAGGTAAGGTCTAGGTTAGATGCTACAGGTGTAGGCATGCTTGATGGTCCCTATTAGCCGGCCCATTGGAATAAGGATATATATATATATATATATATATATATATATAACGCATACTATATCATATACTATAGCCTAGCCAAACTGGCTAGCTTCCCCCACGCACGTCCATATGGGTATGCCACTTTTGCTAACAGGTGTAGATGTAATTAAGATCAAAAGATGCATGTAGCATACTGTAATATATTGAGATTTCTTTAGGCTCCAAGTCAGAGATGTTGTGGATTTTGTATTGCACTGCAGTGTTTACACCTAGCTGACTGCGCCTGTTAAGCAGACGTGTGAGGTGGGAGACGTAAGAAGTGGTCAAGTAGCACTTAGTTGATAGATGTTCAGGCCTTAAATCTAGAGCGTAAAGTTTTGGGGTGTCACATAGGAGTGTTTTATGGGGTGTTCAGATATTAATAAAAAAAACAAATTACATAATCCGTTAGTAATCCGCGAGATGAATTTATTAAGCCTAATTAATCCGTCATTAGCATATGTGTAGCACCACATTATCAAATCATGGACTAATTAGGCTTAAAAGATTTGTCTCATAAATTAGTCGTCAACTGTGCAATTAGTTAGTTATTTTTTTTAGTCTATATTTAATACTTCATGCATGTGTCAAACATTCGATTGAATAAGGAGTAAACTTTAGAGGAGAGGAACTAAACAAGGTCTCATTCTCTGTCTTTCTTTTTAGAAAATTTTCTCTGTCTTTCTTTATGTGGTGTTTCTTCTGTTTTTAGAAATTAGAGGAATATGTTTTTTACTAGGTGACTTCTCCCCCATTTCTTAAAACTAAGAGTATTTTATGACAAGGGATTTGCAGCAACTAATTTCCATGATTAAAAGACATACCATCGCTTAAGCAATGGAAAATAGTGAAGTTACCAACAAGGCAACAACGATGCTTTTTACTCGATGGGGAAAAAATCTTCGCATTTTCCAGTTACGCCTTCAGGTGGAAACACTGAAGAAACACCTGTTGTCTACTGGGAACGATGTTCAAAGAAGAAAAACCGAAATGTTCTAGCAGAATAAAAAATATATTCTGAGACTGCGACCTGGCTGCTGTCAGTCGCATATAGACAGGCAATTTTTCCGGACCTTGAGTTCATCATCACTAGCCGATTCTGGTCTGGGCTAGTTTTGTTTCAATTAATTACACCTTGGGTTCAAATCAAAAGTTGAGACCAGAAGCATTAAGATGGTCCAATAGACTTGGCCCATTAGCCCATGAAGAACTAGCACCTCAGCATTAGGCCCAATAGAACGTCCACAGCTCAAGGCGCAACACCGTTTACTTCGTCGGCGAGACCGCGAGTCCGCGACGGTCAAAGTAAGAGAGGAGAGCAGGAAGACAGGAAGAGGGTAAGAATGGCGGGCGCCACGAGACGCCGCGACGGGGTCGTTCCCATCATCCAAGGCGGCGAGAGGGATCCGGAACGCCTAGCGACGCCGCCGCGGCGAGGGTCATGGTTTGTCTGTGCTCCTCTTTGAATCAGTTGCGCGCTATAATATTTTGGTAGTTGGAGCCTAAGGCAAAATTGTCGGGTACCTGCATTTGCACTTTCGCTGGGGCGAGGTATGATACTGCCCCGGTTTTGTGGATGTTCATTTTGCTCTTCTTTGTGCGGCGCAAAGGGTGTTTTCGTGTGAGTTGGTACCACAGTTAGGAAACCTTTATGTTAATTTGATCCGAGAGAGAAGCGTCACAGCTAGGTGTATCATGTGGTTCGCGGTTTCAAATTAAATGTTTGTACACAGAGCCAGAGGGGATGATCTGCAAAACTAGGCAGAGCTCCCACTCAAAGCATGCGAAGGGAGAAATGGTTTTGCTTGTTTCAGATGTTGTAGGTAATAACAGACCAAATACATGGCTCACTTGTGATTTGATTCTTTATATGCCTTTGCAAACTAACCTAAACTGCCATGCCTAGTGTCAAAATTTAAAATTGGTTCGGTTGACTGCACCAGCTGCATGGCCTATACAAGAGTCAAGAGGCCTTCTCATATTTTCCCAACAGTACTGGAAACAGGTAAGGTCTCTGTAACTGTATTGCTGTCAGTTCAAGAAAGGCACATAGAATTCAGGAAGCCCTCATTGCGTGCATTCGGTGGTTCAGAGATGAGCCAGACCGTTCTTGATGTATCAGGTGCATGCTTCATTTTTAGTTCCCTCTAATTCTCACCTAACATTCTTTTAGATAAATCCTGTTCTCGCACTTATATAAGCACATATATTCAAGCATAGAACTCATACAATCATTCAGTGACACCGTTATGGCTTTTCTCAAGCTGTCTCTAGTGTTCTGCTCTATTCTTACTTTTCTGAGCTTGAACTGTGGTCCATCTCATGTATTTGCCAAGGTTTATATGGTGGTGATGGAGGATGACCCAGTCATTTCTTACAAAGTGAACCGCAAGCATGTAGTGTATGTGTTTTCTGCATAGGAATAAGTTGAATTATATCATCATCTCCGGGTAATACCAATTACTAAAGTATTTTATTCAGGAGAGGCGAGGAAGCTCAGAAGTACAAACGGGTGGCCACAACAAAGCATGACAGCTTCCTGGACTCATTTCTCCCAGTGGGATCTTACAAGAAACTATACAGTTACACTCACTTGATTAATGGATTTGCTCTCCATGCTGAATCTGAGAAGGTGCTTTTTCAGACTCTATAGTGCATAAAATTCCTTTTATTATTTTCTCTGTTATTTGACTATTTGGGCTGGGAAATGAGGGAACTGTTCCACAAAGCTTCTATTCTCACTTGGCAGAGTAGAATTTCCAGTACCAGGGATAACCTCTGTGTGTAGACATCAATCATGAATTCAAGATTGGAGCTGCAAGTATACATGCTAACATATAAACATAATATAAGCAGTATAGCAACTCAAGTAAATTCTGGTTATTGGCGAATATTATCAGGAGTGTGGAGTATCTTTACAGTGAATTGAGAGTCTGGTTCAGTCTGCTGCTGCCCAACCATAGTTTCTGTCAATAACTAGATCTGCCCCACTTTGATTTTTTTTTGCACAGCAGTATATGACTTATATTTTTCCTATACTCTGTATTTACAAACTGAAACCCATGAAAGACATGGAGATGTCAACCATCAAATGCAAATCCATTGCACTTATATTTTTATACTGGCTAGCTGTTTGCAAGTTTTATTAAAGAGTTGATGATGTTATTAGTGAATGTCGGTTATTTGTTTCTGTTCGAATTAATAGTTGAATATTTATATTTGTTATATGTGTAATAGTTAGTTAGAATTCTTAGTGGTGCAAAAGGAGTTAGACTTATCCAAGAAGACATCAAAATGGCCAAGATGATCACACATACACCAAGTTACATTGGAGCTAGTGCAGTCTGGCCGCTCCTGGGTGGTGCTGAGAATTCCGGTGATGGGGTGGTGATTGGCATGATTGATACCGGGATTGACCCTAAGAACCCAAGCTTTGCTATCAGTAACACGTCAAGCCAAGCGAAACCACCACCGGCTAGTTTCAAAGGAATATGTCGTACTGGGAATAGATTTCCTCCAGATTCATGCAGTGGTAAGATAGTGGGAGCTAGGTGGTTTGCACGTGCTGCCCAAGCCACTGGGGAGTTCAATGCTACAATTCACTATGAATCTCCTTATGATCCAGATGGTCATGGCAGGTTTGTCCAATTCTCTATTATATGCTGATAACTGTATTAATTCATTTTATCCTCAAAATGCATCAGCAGCTGATCATAACAGTGTCTTCACAGCCACACCGCATCGATTGCAGCTGGGAATTTCCATACGCCACTAGTATCCAGAGGCTACAACTTTGGGTATGCAAGCGGCATGGCCCCTGGAGCTCGGTGAGTTGGACTGAAAGAACAATCCTTTTGCAGCATTTCATCTATTTTTTTTTGGAAGATACCATTTCAGATGTTGAAACTTGAAAGCCAAGAAGGGAAATAGTGTATACAATCTTACGATCTGTTGATTGCCCTTTCAGTCTTGCAATCTACAAAGCTGCCTATCCTTTCGGTGGATACATGTCAGATGTGATTGCTGCAGTCGACCAGGTTCTTAGATATACTCTACAGAAAGCTATTGTCGTTCAATCTGTATGCTAAACTGTGTTACTTGTATGTAGGCAGTAGAGGATGGGGTTAATGTTATAAGTCTTTCTATGGCTCCTTCTTCAGTTTCACCTGGGCCAGCATCTTTCCTCAATTTGCTTGAGGCACAACTGCTCCTTGCCACAAAGGCTGGAGTGTCAGTTGTTCAGGCCGTTGGCAATGCAGGACCCGATGCAAACACAGTCGTCTCTTTCAGCCCATGGATATTAAGTGTTGCTGCTTCAACGACAGACCGTAAGTATAGAAAATCAATCATAATTGGCAATGGGAAAGTATTTTCTTGCGGCGCCCTTTCAGGTAATTCATTTCAACCTATCTTGGCCGTTGTTCTGGGGAATGGAATTTCTAGACAGCCTTACCCTTGCATAACTGTACCTGATCTTGGATAGGACAACATCATTCTATAACTAACAAATTCAAGTAGATCTAAGGATTGACCATATCACAATGTGCCTATGTTTCAATACTTCACTCGATGCCAAATTTGTTTTAACCCCTTGCCTATTTTGCCAGCTCCAACACCAGGTGAAACAATGTACCCACTAGCATGGGCTGATGATGTGGTCAATGAGAATTCATCTGATGGGTCTGTCAATTGCCAAGATCCAAAGATCTTCATCAGACCTCTTGTCCAGGGAAAGGTGATTATTTGCATGTTCGACTCATCAAGCTACTATGAAGACGACCTCGACCTTGCTGGTGTCATCGCTACGATTGAGAGAATTGGAGCTGCTGGAGTCATCGTCACTGATCGTTCTTCGGGTGACGTCGACATTGATTATGAGCCTACATTTCCCACAACAGTCCCTTCCGCCATAGTTCTGAGGGGTTCCGACACGCGAGTAAGTTCCTGTTCGCTTGAACTTATCAGCCGGCTTATCAGCTAGAATCTACAGTATTTTTCTCTCACAACAAAATAGCTTTAGCCGGCTTTAATACCAGCCGAACAGGCTGAAATATTTTAAGAGTTAAGAGAATGCACTACAGCAGTGTTTTGATCAGTACTGGAATCGCAAGATTCTGTTTCCACTAGCTAGGAATTTTGGCCTGATCGCATTTTCATTTGCTACTGTGTGCAGGCTCTATTTAGGTACTATAACAACAACACGGTTCGAGATGAACATGGAAACGTGGTCAGCTTCGGAGCGACTGTACGGATTACGGAGGGGCGGCGTGCAAGCTATTCGGGAGAAGCACCAGTGGTGGCCGACTACTCCTCGAGGGGACCGGACGTGGAGAACGCACAGATGCAGCCGGCAGAGGTGCTGAAACCGAACGTGATGGCGCCAGGGAATCTTATATGGGGAGCATGGAGCCCGACGAGCAACGCGCTGCCAGAGATCCAGGGCGAGAAGTACGCGCTGCTGTCCGGCACAAGCATGGCCGCCCCGCACGTCGCCGGTGTGGTGGCCCTGATCAAGCAGAGGCACCCGAGGTGGAGCCCCGCCATGGTCATGTCGGCGATCATGTCGACCGCGGACGTGACCGACCGCTCGGGCCGGCCGCTGACGGCGAGGGGCGACGACGGCTCCGTGGACCCCGCGACGCCGTTCGACATGGGCGCGGGCGCCGTGAACGCGGCGCGCGCGCTGGACCCCGGCCTGGTGTTCGACGCCGGGTACAGCGACTACCTCCGGTTCCTGTGCGCGGTGCCCGGCGTGGACAACGCCGCTGTGCTGCGCGCGGTGGGCGCGCCGTGCCCTCCCCCACCGTCGCCGCCTGCGGGGGCGGGGGCGGGGGCGGCGCGGTGGTGCTCGGACCTGAACGCGGCGAGCGTGACGGTGGCGAGCCTGCTGGGGTCGCGGCGCGTGGACCGGCGCGTGACGAGCGTGGGCGCGCAGAACGAGACGTACATGGCGTACGTGCGCGCGCCCGGCGGCGTGGCGGTGCGGGTGTCGCCGTCGCAGTTCGCCATCGCGCCCGGCGCGGCGCGGACGCTGCGGATCGTGTTCAACACCACCGCGCCGGGGAACGCGTTCAGCTTCGGGGAGGTGGTGCTCAAGGGCGACAAGAAGCACCGCGTCCGGATCCCCCTCGCCGTCTACCCTGCCGCGGCACTGAGCCCATGAGCTCGGGCGCAAAAGTATACGGCTCAGACAGGGAGCACGCGTTCCGACGTATACGTACATGTACTCGTTCTAAAATTAAAAAAAATGCAGAGACCTGTTGGTGACGCGGGAATTCTCGTGAGAATTGAGACTGGTGTTGTTCCGAATGGCCACCCTTGACTCGGCCGTTGGTTCTTGAGATGGTGAGCAGGCAACAAACTAGTATACTCTATTGTACCCAAATGAAATGCTCTTAAATTCCACGTGTTGGTCGTGCGCGATGCGGTGGACCTGGTTTGGGTTCGTGCGTCGGCACGCACGCCTGGCGATGAATGAACTGGCGAGTGGGATTATCCGCCCACCCATTGACATGAGAATTTGAGATGAGGATGTGGGCAGCACTGGATGACACGGCGGCGGCGTCGGTGCGAGAGCGACGCGGGCACGCGGCGAGGCGGCCGCGCTTATCCGAGTCCGGCTTCCAAGTTTGCACGCCTCCAGCTCGGCGCGGACGCGGCGGCGGGCAGGTGCGATGCACCGCAACTGAGTCCTAGTGGCTGTACGGGTCTGACCTGTCTTTTTTCTTTAATCGATTCCATCCGTGTCCATCCATGGCAAATGGCATGCCGAGACGCCACCGCCCACCGGCGGTTAGCGTGCCCGCGTGGGCTCCCATGCCCAAGCGCAACCGTGAAGCCACACCGTCCGTCCCCCACGGGTGGCCCACCCGTCGACGCGTCCCTATGGAATTGGGGAGGTTTCGTTCGGCTTATCTTATATTTGGTTTGTTCGATTTTTTTTTATTGAAACAATATTTTTCTCTCACAATATTTTATCCACACTTTCAATCAAGTTTTAGCAAGCTGAACAAGGCTGTAATGTAGTGACGCTGGTGACTCTGATTCTCGTTTTGCGCGGTGGGGTGGGTCACCCGCGGCGAGGCGCACGATCTCAGTGCGGCAGCGGTGGGCCGTTGATGCTGCACAATTCGTCCCCACCGAACCCCGGGGAAGTGGGGCACTCGGCTCTGTTTGGTTGGCTTCCCCACATTGCCACGCCAGAGATGCGGCGTGCCATGCAAAGTTAGGCTGCTGTTTACTTCTCGCCGGAATTGTGGCATGTCAGAATTTTTTTAGAAGCATGCATGTACAAAACTAGCGCAGAACTCGCCAAATGTATGGCGTCTGATTTGCTCGCTGTAGTTTTGGCGATGCTAGAATTGAGATGCGGCGTGATGGGGTAAAGAACCAAACGGGCCCGAATGAACTGCCGCTGTCTGGCCAGATACGGCCGCGACCTGTGGACCTCACACTCCAATGCTCCATGTTTCCATGGCTCGGTTGCACTGCATCGATCACCCACCGGCTCCTCCTGGGAAAAAGGCAAGGGCCCTGTGTCACTGCCTGCCTCCATTCCAGTTGCCATTTGGGCAGCTGTTTTCCTGGGGAGGGCAGGAGCCGGGAGGCGCCTCCCTGGACGAGAAAAAGTTGCCTGCCTCAGATCAGATGCCACTGCGCTTCTCTACTCGCCTTCTCAGCCGTCGAAACCGTGCACTAAACTGTCCTGCATGCCAGGTGTAGCAGAGGAGGAGCGGACACGTACCAGATGAGAGCCTGAAAAGACAACATGACAGGACGATGCAAAGCTCAGGGTTGGACATTGCCTTGTCACTTTTGTCAGGGCGATGCTGGACTGCACGGGCAAGGCTGCAGAGAATCCAGCGACGCCACGACAAAATTCCGATGATTCCTGAGGAGGTCTCGTTTAAATCCAAGCCGCAGAGGTTTATGTTAAGATATTAATAAAAAAACAAATTATATAATCTACTAATAATCCGTGAGATAAATTTATTAAATCTAATTAATTTAGCATTAACATATATGTTACTGTAGCATCACATTATCAAATCATAAACTAATTAGACTTAAAAATTTTATCTCGTAAATTAGTCGTAAATTATATAATTAATTTTTTTTTAAACTATATTTAATACTTTATATATATGTTAAATATTTAATGAGATAGTAAGTAAACTTTAGACGAGAAACCTGAGAGAACACACAGCACAGACTTTTCAGTTACATTGCTCCCGTGAGACCATCAGAACAAAAAGACCACCAAAAAGGTTGAACACGGCACGCACTGGCAGCCAGCCGTCCCATGTGGGCCCTGAATTAATATCTTCACTGTCAAACGGGACCCACACGCAAAGTGAGGATTTGTTTTTTGTAAAGTGGACGGGAAAAAGAGAGAGAGACGCAGGACGCAGCACTCCAGGAGGAAAGAACTCCCTCGGCGCCGTGGCGGCCTCTCTCCCGAATTTTCCTAATTCAATTCGATCTCCCTTCCTTATCCGGCATCAGCGCGCACCACTAAATCCCGTTTGGTAATAAAAAAAATAGCCCCTGGCTCCAAATCGAGTTCCAGTCCAGCTCCAACGTTTTGAAAGAGAACATGTCCGACTTGCGAACTCCTTCGTCCCTCTTCTTCCTCAGGAGTTCCAGATCAGCCAGCCACTACTCTACTCCCAGTCGTGGCTCAGCCCCCGCGCGTCGATCTTATCCTCCTCCAGTCTAATTCCAGCTCCGAGCCTCCACCCACCCCCGATCCCTCACTATTAATACAGCCCGGTGGTTTTACCCCCGATCTCACCATCAGGTCCTCCTTCCTCGATCCTCGGACGAAACGCGCCGCCTTTTCTTCGTCTCGTCTCGTCTCCTGCCGTTTTTGGGTCGCCCGGATCTCGCTCTCGTCGCGCGCGCTTGTTGTTTCTGTCGGCGGTGCTGGAAAGGCGGGTCCTTTTCGTGGCCGCGCGCTCGTGATCCTTCTTCTTGGGAAAAGGAAAAAAAAAGTTGCCGCCGCGATGAACGCGCTCGCCGCCACCAGCCGCAACTTCCGGCGGGCCTCGAAGCTGCTCGGCCTCGACTCGAAGCTCGAGCAGAGCCTGCTCATCCCGTTCCGGGAGATCAAGGTGGGGTCCCGGGCTCCCGGCGCCGTTGCTTGTGGCATCTCTTCGTGTTGGCCGAATTGTTTGTTTATGCGTTTCGCGATGTTCCTCGCAGGTGGAATGCACCATCCCCAAAGACGACGGCAGCTTGGCGTCGTTCGTCGGCTTCCGCGTGCAGCATGACAACGCCCGCGGGCCGATGAAAGGCGGCATCCGCTATCATCCTGAGGTGAGCGATGTCCGCTGATGCGATTCTGCTGTCGATTCTGTCTATTGTGTGCTATTCCATTTTAATGGAGCAATTGTAAAATAGGAATACAAATAATGCAGCAATTGTAAAAAGGCATGTTTTGGTTACGTTGATTTCTTTCTTCCTGTCAAACTGATAGAACAACTTTCGTCACTTGTCATTTTTGTAAAGCTCCTCCACTATCGTTTAATCTCTGCATATATGGTTACGTTCATTTCTTCTTCCTGTCAAACTGATAGAACAGCTTCATGTGTAGTAATTTTTTGTTGAACCTATCTTTTAGTAGCCTTTTACGAATGTCCAAAACTTTACTTCCTTATTACACCAATTCAACCTGTCCAAAATCTGTACTAGGACATCTTGTTCTCATATATCTATTTCCATATCTTTCTGACCTTTTCTACCTAAATTTATACTCACCTGATGTGGTCAGTTATGTTTTTTTAATAGAAAAGCCTTGCATTTTTTACAAGTGCTTTAGTCTTGTTCTTTTATGCTTGGTTTGTAAAGACTCAGTATATAGGCCCCCAAAAAACAGCTACATGACTTCTTTTTAACCATAATTTTCTTGAATGTATTACTCGATTCAAAACTTATACTAGTCAAAAAAACGATTTCATTGTTTTGTTTGGCAGGTTGATCCAGATGAAGTAAACGCCCTTGCTCAACTCATGACATGGAAGACAGCTGTTGCAGCAGTTCCATATGGTGGAGCAAAAGGAGGGATCGGGTGCTCTCCTGGTGAATTAAGTAGAAGTGAATTAGAGCGGTTGACGCGAGTATTTACCCAGAAAATTCATGATCTTATCGGAACACATACAGATGTCCCAGCTCCTGACATGGGGACCAATGCACAGGTAGGCCTAATATTGCTTTTGGTATTGTTTGTGATCCACTCTCTTTTGTATGCTCAGCTACCTTCTTTATTCTTTTGCAATTATGAAACAGACCATGGCATGGATGTTGGACGAGTACTCGAAATTTCATGGTCACTCACCAGCAGTTGTCACAGGCAAGCCAATTGTACGTGAAAAAATGTGGCAGCAAGTTACTTTGGTGCAAATAGTTTTTACAAAGTATAATAGGAAAAAAGAATGCAATAGTTATTATAAATTTTATATTCTTTTTTTGTAGGATCTTGGTGGATCACTGGGTAGAGATGCAGCAACAGGGCGAGGTGTCATGTATGCCACCGAGGCTCTACTTGCTGAATATGGAAAATGTATTTCTGGATCAACTTTTGTGATTCAAGTGAGTGATAATTATTCATATATGTCCATTGAATTTAATTTTATATAAGATAATAAAAGGAGAATCATATGTTCCGTTTAGCAGGTTAACTAATATTAAAAAAAACTCTATATATGTTATTGTCAGTATGCGAGCACAATACAATATATATAGATTAATATGTCAACCTTGTAGGGTTTTGGCAATGTTGGCTCATGGGCTGCACGACTTATCCACGAGAAAGGTGGTAAGATTATTGCAATTGGAGATGTGACGGGTTCAATCAGAAACGCGTCTGGTATAGACATACCTGCTTTGGTGAAGCATAGAAATGAAGGTCATGCCATGAAAGACTTTCATGGTGCAGAAGTTATGGATTCGACTGAGTTGCTAGTGCACGACTGTGATGTTCTTGTCCCCTGTGCCTTAGGTGGAGTTCTTAACAAGTAAGAACAAGTGTCCTTGTCTATTGTTAGTTTCATTAGCTTTCTCAACAAATTTTCGCCCATTGATATGTGGCAGAACCTTTTCATGACCTGATAAAATATGCCAATTTTGTTTTGTGATGAATAGCCTACTTTTGATTTATTTCCAAGCTCTGTCGTATATATACCCAACATTGCTGATTCCCGGTAATTGGTTTTGTGCAGGGATAATGCACCAGATGTGAAGGCCAAATTTATAATTGAAGCTGCTAACCATCCAACTGATCCAGAGGCAGATGAGGTAGAACCATATATTTTGTGCAATAATATCAGGAAGACGACCAATTTGGCAACTTTTTTTTCTGAGCTTCTGCCTCTTGCATATGCAGATTCTTGCCAAGAAGGGAGTAGTAGTATTACCTGATATCTATGCTAATTCAGGTGGTGTGATCGTTAGCTACTTTGAGTGGGTTCAGGTAAACAAATGTCTGTGTGTCACCGCTTCATTGCTCGATTGCTTCCTTGCTTTAATCTGTTTTCTTGTGCTATGTTGATTGATGGTGTAGAACATTCAAGGTTTCATGTGGGATGAAGAGAAAGTAAACAATGAACTAGAGAAGTACATGAGCAGTGCTTTTCAACACATCAAGGCCATGTGCAAGAGTCTAGATTGCAACCTTAGGATGGGGGCATTCACCTTAGGAGTTAACAGGGTTGCCCGTGCCACCCTCTTGAGAGGCTGGGAGGCATGAGACCATTGACTGCACATTACAGATTCATCAGGTGTATTCAATAATTCATTTCCAACAATGTTGGAGGATAAGGCTGGCTTGGAAGGAGTCCAGTTGAAATAACATTCTGGGTGTTGTGCTTGTTGATCCAGGGTTACTAATGGTTGGTTATCTAGTTCTTGGTGATGATTATTGAAAATTGTATTTAATCATTTTATAATATTTTAGAAAGCTTATTTGGTCTCAACAGAAGGGCGGGCCTGGTGTAAGCGGTAGAGTCTTACCGCCTGTGACCGGAAGGTCCCAGGTTCGAGTCGCGGTCTCCTCGCATTGCACAGGCGAGGGTAAGACTTGCCATTAACACCCTTCCCCAGACCCCGCACAGAGCGGGAGCTCTCTGCACTGGGTAGGCCTTTTGTTTGGTCTCAACAGAGTTCATGTATCTTTTCATTCTTAATGAAACTCTGGTATGGGGTTTGAAGCTGCCAGATGTAAATGATCCGCAAAAATTACAGAAGAGATTCAAATAAACCAGTTATCCATACAGTTTAAAGCACTGCTGTGACTATGAGTTTCTCATAAGCGCCAAGTAGTAGCTTAATAATTCAGTAGAAGAGAACACACTAAGGTTAATTAAAAGAGAACACACTAAAGTTAATTAAAAAAGCACACACTAAAGTTATCATCATGCGCATTGCATTTAGCAAGTGTTCGGCATATGCTTCAGGTACCCAAGTTTTGGAGCTACGCGTTTGATGCTGCCAGCGTCTGAGAAGGCAACGCGAGCAAAACAATCCCCGGATCATCTGAAATTCGTCAGCGGTAACAGGGTACAGTTTGCGAGGCTGGCCGTGCTGCTTCAGCGCCGCTGATGCTTCCTTGCCGCCCTGGTCAGCAACTGAAGCTGGAGTAGGACCACCACCAGCAATCACCGGTGTCAACTTGGGAGATGCAAATGAGACCTTACAGCCTAGCTTCTTGCCAGGTGTAAGAGCAGATCGGTCACCAGTAGCCACCGCGGCTGATTTGTGTTGCCGGCGACGGCCCTTGGGGGTATCTGACAGAGCCTTGCCGCCAGCCTTCTTGCGTGCAGTTGGAGCAGAGCCAGCCTTGCGAGGCTGAAGAACATCCTTGTAGGTTGCAGATGGAGCCTCGTTACGGCCACCTTTCTTGTTAGCAACCAACACTGGAACAAAGCCAGCAGCAGCAGCAGCCATGAGTGCCAGCTTGCAAGCCTGGCTGCCAGGCTTGGGCGCAGTGGGCGTTGTCCAAATGCTCTCATTCTTGTTCACGATTGAAGAAGCATCGTTACCATCCTTGTCCATAGCAGGCGTTGGCGCAGGTTCAGACACAGGCACCTCTGTGGTAGTAGTCACCAGGGCAGGGTCGAGAGGCTGACCACCATCTTTGTCCATAGCAGGCGTTGGCGTTGGTGCAGGTTCAGGCACAGGCACCTCTGTGGTGGTTACCAGGGCCAGGTCGAGAGTCTGACCACCATCCTTGTCCATAGCAGGCATTGGCGTTGGCGCAGGTTCAGGCACAGGCACCTCTGTGGTGTTCACCAGGGCCAGGTCGAGAGGCTGATCACCACCCACAGGTGGCGTGGTTGGAGAGACCTCGGTGCATGCCTTGTCCATGGTGGATGCAGCAGAGCAATCACCGAGGATCGACAGTCCCAGCTCACGCGGTGGCTCATGCTCCTTGTCCGAAGTGTATGGAACCTCACTGCCATCTTTCTTGCCGGCGACGATTGCTTCGCCAGAGCTGTCCGTGGTCGTGGCCATCCCCTGCCTGCGAAGCCGGCGACGGCGCTTGGGCTTCAATGACGGTGCCTGGCTTCCATCCTTGTTTGCAACAGCAACCAGTGACATTGGAACAGAGTCCTTGGCAGCAGCGGCCAGTGTCAAAGAAGAGCCTGCAGGCGGTGTCATCCACTGAGCCCCCGCGCTGCCATCCTTCCTGCCTGCAGGCGGTGTCGAAGGAGAGCCATCCCTCCGTGGCCTGCCTCGGCCACGCTTGGCCTCCACGGACGCCGGTCTGCACGAGCCGGCCTCAGCCTGCTCCACCGGGAGCTCCTCATCCGCGTTTTCCTCGGGGAAGCGCTCGTACCGCCCCGCAGCGGTTCGCACGAAGATGCCCTCGGCGACGTGCTTGCGGAGGTAGTGCCGGAGGAGCCTATCGTGCGCGGGGGACACGCCGGGGTGCCTGGCGCAGATGAAGGCCGAGATGGAGTCCTCCGACGAGCCGCCGTCCTCGGCCAGCGCGTCGATTGCCTCGCCGATCATCTGCAACCCAACACGGCCACAATGTCAAGCGCGGTAAGGTGTTAATCGGTGTACCCCGGAGAAATGTACCCCACTGCGAGTCTGCGACGCCCTTTTCTCAACAAAATAAAAGAGGGGGGAAATCCTCCATCGATGGGCGATCAACCTATCAACGTTAGTATAAGCTTGTTCGGTAAGGCGCCAAGGCGGCTCTAGCGGTGTGGCCATCGGAGGTAATTAATTTCCTAGTCCGTTCGATTGAGCAGAGATTAACAGAACGAATCAATCGCAGAAAGAATGAAACTAATTACATGCAGTACTAAGGCCAATCTCAGTCGAGGTTTCATAGAGTTTCATGGGCATTAAAGTGCTGATATGGCACCGTCTCGATGAAGAGAGAGGTGATGAAAGTTTAGATATATATTCATAAGATGAAACTCTTCAAATATAAGCGCGTTGGTATTTGGCCATGAAACCTCCACTGACACTAGCCTAATTAAGTAGAAAATCTAAAACAATATTATGATATCATCATAATAAAGAAATAAAAGGGGAGCACAAGAAGGAATGAGAAACGGGGTGAGTAACGGATCAACGGAATCCGCGGCGAGTAGGGTATTACCCAGCAATAGGGTGGGTGATCCGGCGTGGGTTGGCGGGGCTTCCGCGCGACCTCCAACGGCTGCGGCGGTGGCGTCCGCTGCCCCTCCTCATCCGTCGCCTTCCCCCGCTTCGCCTCTTGCCCCGCGTCCACCTCGACGACGGTCACCATTGTTGGGTAGGGGTGCGGAATACCGGGCTCCTGCTGTTGGTCCGGTAGAAGGAAAGAGGAGGGTTTAACGGGGAGAGGGCAAGAGGGGAGAGAATGCGGCCGGTGCCCGGTAGGCTGTGGCTCGTGGCTGTGGTTGGGCTGGGCTCTTCCGTCCGTGTCCGTCTTCCCTGTTCTGCTGCCTTGGATGGTGTGGTGTCTGGCCTGGGAAACCCGACCTTTTCTTTTACCATACTGCCCTTGGCTACTTATGGAGTACGTACTCGTACTGTACTTGCTTCCGCACGCGGCACGTCCGGTCTCCTCTCCGGCGAGCACAGTCAGGAAGGGAGAGGGGAGGGCAGCTCCAACCATTAACTCCTAAGCTAGCTCTAAGTATTTTTTATATTTTAATATAAAAGAGAGTAAAGCTAGCTTTTGATAAGAACTAAGCTCTTGTATATATTTCATTGTTACGTGAGAGTATCATATGAAACTATCATATTAAAAGTTAGGTGCTAAAAGTTAGTACTAATGAAGAAGTTGTCTTAGAGCTAATAATTAGCTTTAACCACCGCGGGTGCCCTTACTTACCTCGTGTAGCAAGGAGAGATCTAAGGGTTCGTAACCAATCAAGCAATTGCTAGTTCGCTTTTTTCGGAGGCATGTGAGTCGGAGTACTTCCCACGCGCTGCAGCGCCACGCTCCTATCCCGACCTGCATTCATATTTTGTTGTGGTCTCCATCTAATTAGATGCAATGTAGTATATGTCATTTTGCAATCTAAAAATTCCTCAACTAATTATTAGTTGCACTTTTATTAGCAGACACAAAAGGGGAAAAAAGTGATGTAGAGCCTCAAGTAGAAGTGGAATAGGATGGCAACAAGAAAGGAGATTTCGAGCTTCAAAAGTACACTGCCATTAACAATTTTACTCAGCTCATAAAAACTCCAACTTTGGCAAATGTGGACCTTCAAAATCTGCTCTAGCTTTGACTACCTAATTACAGGCTAACTATAGTATCAGCACTTATAAGTAGTTGATTGTTGTTGTGTCAACACTTGATTATTTAGTGACTTGCTATGTCTAAACTACTGTAAAAAACAGTTACTCCTATGTCTGAGGTGCATGAGCTATTGAACCTCAAATGTCGTGTCTCAACTACTGTAAAAAAAAACAGCTACGTCAGAGGTGATTTTGCTTTCCAAGCACAAGAGCCGCTGGATCTAATTTGAATGGCTGGATGGTGGAGGTAAGACTTGTTCAAGGTAAGTTACTGAGTTTTCGTCCAGTCTGTGCTTCCCAAGGTTTCCGATATACACGACCAAACTAATAGCCCAGTTTAGAAAGAAATAAAGAATATTTGGGTGCCTCTAATTTTTATCTTTTTCTTTTTTTACATCTTAGGCATCTTTCAAGCACTACTAGGTGCAAATGACATACTTCTAGTGGAAATTTGGTATTTTCTTCCTCCCCAAGCACACTTTTGTACATGCTCAAAGCCTCAAAGTACAAAAAAAGCATGCAGCCTAGACCAAAAAAGACAAAAACGATTTACACTCATGTTGTATTGTTTGTGTTAAGCAACTCTAATAGGCCCACTCTAGCAGGGACCTTAGGAGACCCTTAAAAACAAAAGACCCTCAAATTTCTATCTCAAACCTTCATTCCACGGTTTACACCATACCCCTACTTTTTAACTTCTGTCAATCCTCTTCTCAAGCACCGAACATTCTTTCCTTTTTGTTGTTCAAGCTCCCCTCCTTGCCGCTAGATCCACTGTTTGGGAGTTGCGCCCCATAAGTTGGGCGTGCCCTGAGTAGCCACACCCCTAGGCATGTGGGCGCAACGTGTGTGGGTGTAGGGTTGGCGATCCTCGATGGCTATGGAGGAAGAGAAGAGGGATGGAAGCCCAAATGGTGGAAGAGAGGGAGGTGGTGGACCAAACGACCAGTGTTGAAGGATGCAGATGCAAGATGGGAGAGAGAGAGATGAAAAAAATAATATGGCTGACAAATGGATACCACGGAAGTAGAGGGTCCTAATTTAAATGTTGCTGCTGAGTTGAGCTAGAAAGGACGACGCCAAATAGTAGAGTAAGCTTGTAAACAAAAAAGGACGTGGTTCGTGTGTGCGGTCGTCTTCAACATCTCGCGCCCCCTCCACCTTCTTCCTCGTCGCCAGTGGCTATGCTGGTACCTCGCCCTTGCCCCCGCCGCCGCCTCCTGCCCTCGCCAGAGCTCCCCCGCCCCGCCCTGGCCCGACCGCCTCCACCACCGCCAGGGCCCCTAACCGCCCTCCAGCCATCCCCACCGTCTGGCCGACCTTTCTCTCCCCAAACCTTCCCTTCTAAGCCTGCTGGAGTTAGGAAAGATGAGAGAGAGAGAGCTCACCGGAACCCTAAGTCAGAGATCTAGGAGGAGGAGGCTGCGGAGGAGGAAGCCTACCTCGACCGGATCCGCCATGGTCGCCGCCGGATCCGCCCCAAGCCGCCGTTCATGGTGCGGTGTGGCGTAGGGGGATCTTGCCGAGGAGCAGTTCGCCGCCGGAACCACCTGTCGCTGCCGGAGGGGAGAAAGGGAGGAGCGGTGGCATGTGGGGAGGGAGATGAACGCATGCGTATGGGGAGGAGAGTGTGTGGTGGACAGTGTGCGTGGGTTGGGATAAAAAAGTGGCCGACCATCTTAAAGTCATTACCAAAAAGATAGAGGCCCTAATTTGGAGGTAATTGCTTGAAAGATTCTTCTCTCCCGCTAAGCACAAGCGCGTGCCTCCTCTTTATTATTGTGAGCAGGGGAGGCCTTCTCATTCTATCTACTCACCATTTTGGTTGGAAAACAAATAAATTATTAGTACAATCAAGGCATCCACGATGAAAACCTCATCTTATAAGGGAAATCGAAACATCGTCCGGTTGTTCTTTCTTTCTTTGCCTTCGTTTTCCTCCCCTGTTATTTTTTCTTTCTTTCTTTGCCTTCTTTTTCCCCGGTCTTTGAACCCATCTAAGAGTGAAGAAAACAAATTTTATGTGTTTCCAAGGCCTCCAACACATGTTTTTTTTCCTAACTATAATTGCAATTAATTCTTGTTGGAGTTACAATATGTATGTATATAATAGAGTTATTACAACAATCTTTTATGTGATTTTCAACTATTCTTGTTACAATTATCAAGAAAATTGGATGTTGGAGTCGCGAGCCCTGCACCTAAATTTCACTCAACTAGAAAGGAAAGCAAACTTCAAACTTGAGCCATCAACAACAAATCCAATGAATAATTGATTCAGGAGTCAACATCGTTGTGACACTGACACCAAAAGAGAGCAACGGAGATACGATAATGATGTGAACGGGGCGTCCTGGTGGCCGGACGCACCAATTCACCTCCGCTCCCCTGCACTCCTCTCCCCCCGCTCCGCACGCTCCCCCGCACTCGCTCTCCTCCCACTCCGCCCGCCCGCTCTTCGGGTCGTCCCGCGACGGGGACGCCGCGTCCGCCCGCCCGTGCTCCCTCCCTCCCTTCCCCCACCGGGGATGAGAACGACTGCGGCGGCTCCGACGAGGTAGGTCGGTCCAGATCTGAGCCCTCCTCCTCCTCCTCTGGATCTGAGGGACGCGGCGGTGCTTAGGGTTCCGGCGAGCTTTGGGGTCCTATTCCTTCCTCCCTCCGGCGAACTCGAAGGTGATGGGTCAGGGGGTTGTTTTGTACGCTTTTTTTGCCGTTTCTCCCATGTTACAATGGGTTTTTTATGTTGCAATGGATGATTTTCGAAGGTTGCAATGTGATTTTTTTGGGTCGTTGCAACATATTTTTTTGCGATATTGCAGTACTACTATTTGAGATGTTACAGCACATATTTTTCGATGTTACAGTACATATTTTTTACGTTGCAGTATATGTTTTTTCGATGTTGCACTATATATTTTTGCGATGTTGCAGTACATAATTTTTGATGTTGCAATACATATTTTTTCGATGTTGCGGTACATGTTTTTCTATGTTGCACTACATATTTTTGCGATGTTACAGTATATTTCGATGTTGCACTATGTAGTTTTTCCATATGTTTTGCGATGTTGCACTTGAAGTGTTTCGTGCTATTTTGGGACAGGGGCGTTGTGGGGGAACGGGGTGCGTTGGGGAGGGAAGCGGCGTTTGGATTCTGTTCTATTCCATTCCATTTTGCGGGGGACGAACGGTGTGAGATCTGATGTGCGGGAAGGACGGGCGGTTTGGGAAGCAGAGTGATGTCCGGACACAACGGCTCTATTCGCTTATTGGTTTTAGTCAGGACTTACCAACCATAATATAATATTTTTCTCTCACAACAAAACAACACCAGCCAAACTTATCAGGCCAGAAACCAATCGAACGAACGAATAGGCTGAACGCTCGCGCCGGACGTCCGGGGGCTAGGATGCGCAATGGAGATACTAGATGGGGTCAGTCTCAGTCCAGTCTCTAGCGGTGAGTCTGTGTATTTACTGTGTTTTGATTTATTAAAAAAACAAAACAAATCAGCAGTGTGAAAGTGTGTACTTTGTGTAGATAAGAAAACAACGCTCGCCAGTCGCAAGCAATAAACAGAGCAAAGATTTGATAGCCAGGCGACGTCGTGGTCGCGTGCTCTCGTCAAGCAGATCTTCGTCTTCCACCTCTTTCTGCGGTCTGCGGGCGGCATGGACGGCCCGAGAGGTCTCGCGCCGGGGCGCGGGCGCGGGCGTGGGCAAGGGCGGACGGTGCCGCCCGAATGGACCGGCGATTCCGGGTCCGGGCAGGGCGCCGGCCCCGACGGCTCGTGGAGTTACAGCTGGGGGTGGACATCGGGGCCCGGCGGTGGCTGGGGCTACGGCCACGGCTCGGCGCAGGGCCCCCGCGGCGCTGCGGACGGCGCCGCGTATGGGTTTGCCTACGGCAGCGGTGGTGGAGGAAGCGGGCGTGGGGGGTTCGGGTTCAGCTTCGGCGGTCACGCCGGAGGTTTCGGATGGGGAGCTGGCGGCGGGTCGTTTGGGGTTGGAGGAGGCCACGGCAGCCGCAGCTGGAGCGCGCGCGGTGGGCTCGGCGGCGGCGGGAGGCAGCGGCCACCGCGAGGAGGCCGCGGTCGTGGCAGACACTGAAGAAGGCCGATTAGCATCTGGGGCAGTGTACTACTGCTAACCTGTATTACTCTAAACTCTATACTGTACTAACAATTAACACTCTCCTAGTACTTATTAGTAGTACTTTTTTTTTGCGAGTATGGAATCGACATGACGTAGAATCGTGTTACTCCAACCGCTCTATGAGCGAGAATCCAACGATGCTAGAACTCTATTTTATCTAGAGTTACATGGATGATGGGTGTTGCTTTTGCTGCTGAATGTGACTGAAGCTGAGTTCATCACAATTCACACCTGCACATGTGAGCGTAAGCCAAACGTGCATAAAACAAGCTTCCAGTTCCAGGACAAGAATAGCATCCGAATCCTGAACAAAGTCAAGGATAGTAGTAGTCATTTTTAAAACCAGTTCCAGGACGGTCTCAGATTGAGGGCATTCTAGGTGTCCAGAACTGAGCAGTTTTGGATCTGTTCGATTGAATTTATCAGCCGACTTATCAAGCCTGTTCGCTTAAACTTATTAGCTAGAATCTACAGATATTTTTCTCTCACAATAAAACAACTTCAGTCGGCTTTAATACCAGCCGAAGCCGAACGGGCCGACGTCATAACTGGAAACTCACAAGTTGCTGGTGCTGAGAACTGAACAGAGTTGCCATGTTTCTAAAGGTATCACCGTGACCTCAAAGTCCATTCTTGAGCCCATATTAAAGAATGATGCTCTAAGAATTTCCATATATGGAAAATGCTCTAGGAACCTGTAGCACCTAGCGCGTAAGCCAATAATGTTGCAAAATGCTCAAGGAACATAAAATGTTTGCAACTTGCACGAGCCAGAAAAACTCAAGAAAAGAAACCTGGAACCATACTATTTATACCGATGATGTTAAGCAAAATGAAATATCAGGAACAGTTTGAAAGACAGTAAACAAGTGCAAATGAAATTAGAATTTTCAAATAAAAGTAATGAAACATGTAATATCTCATTCCATATTGTAAAGCATGATTCACGATAAAAATAAATTGTCATAGCATGACCACATGTTATCCTCTTAACTATAAATTCATGGTAGAGTGGTAGTTAATAATAGACCAACCAATAAGGGATGGAAATTGTCGAAATAGAAAATTCATGTAAACTTATTGGCATGTAATGCACACATTATTCTTCACATTGAAAGATAGACATACAGGGCGTGTTCGCTGGTCTGGGACCAGCCGGCTGATCCTCCTCAGCGAACACGTTCATCAACTAGCCGCTACAGTGTTTCTCTCTCACAAAACCAGCCAGTTTCAACCAAGTTTCAGACCAGCGAACGGGGCCACAAAATAACGAATAGGATGGGAAACAAGGAAAAAACTTGACCCCACTGGCAACTAAATTTTTAGTCATAACATAAACCAGAAGCAGGCACAATGAAACAAGCTCAAGTTCAGTTATGCCTAAAAAAACTGCAGATTATAAACTTAATACAGCTACTTTCAAAAAAAAATTAATACAGCCAGCCATCACACTCAACCGAGCCACAAAGGCATTTCTTCTTCTTGATGTTCCCATTGGCATCATGAACCTGATCTATTTTGTAATTGTAGTGGTATAATAGTTCTTGATTGGGTCGAATATCGTCGCAAGCAAAGAACATGATATGAGGGACACTGATATCTTCATGATCATAAAGGACGTTTTGTGCATATATGTTTGGGGTGCAACTATGATTGATAAATTTTGCAAAGTTCCCCATCTCTGAAGCATCAACAGCAAATCCAGTTTCATCGTCTTTGCCCGGACCCTTCTGAAGTGACGGTATAGATCTTGATAGGCCCTCCCAAAGTGACTCATCATAATAATTGTGCCCAATAGCAAATAAATACTCATCATTTGTCCTTTTTTGTGCTTCTTCATCCTCCAACACTTCTCCTATATATTCACACACAAAGCTTCCAGATGGTATGAAGTCAAGAGTTCTCACACCCCAACCCATTGATTTTGTTTTGAAGATTTGCAGCTGAAACTTGAGCCCATGTTGGCCAACTCTGTTGTGACATGTAGGAGGGCACTTGCAAGAAGGCCCACACTCATAAACGAGAGGCTTTGCTTCTACAATGCGGCCTTTATCATTGAAAGGGATTTCTCCACCATTTTTCACTGCACATGCACACTTTTTTGAGTCTGAGCACCCACCTACACAACCACAACCTGCTGGAGGAGTTGGACGATAGTTACGGGGATATTGAAGGTGTGAAGTGTAGCGATAGGGCATTGGGCACTCATCAGATATTTTGTTAACAACAGGTACAGGAACTCTCTCCAATCCACGTGATAGATCTTTGATGATAACATTGTCGTTTGATCCAGAGTTCCCTGTTTGCAGAATTTCTTGGATGTCAATGTGTTTTTGCCCTTTCATTCTTCTCAGTCGGAACATATACACATAACGGTCTCCATGCTCTTTCTCCCTCCAGTACTTCTCAAGAAGGTATAAACCGCCATATATATAAGTAGGAAATTTCTTCTTTCCATTTTGAGTGGTGAACCCATGGATAACACGGACTGGTGTATTAGTGTCCATGCTCTTTTTAAGAGCCAAGTTGGTACCCTCTATCCTCTGATTGACTGTAACTGCCACTGGTCCAGTATATACCAAGACATCCAGATTATACTTGATGTCAGAAGATTGTGCACTTGACACAATACTAACAGCCACAGTAGTACCATCATCCTTCTTGGTACAATCAATACCTACCCTGTGTGGGCGATGGAGACCAACAACACAAAGCTCAACCCTCAGATGAAAGATATCACCAGGATAGATTCCAGGCACACTGCCAATATATTTCTCATCATCAAACTCTGTGGAGAACCGCTCCCTGAAAATTTTGTAAGCCCGTAGATCTGCCCGGATGTTAAGCACTTCTTCCCTCGAATTATCTTCTTCTTCATCTAAAAGCTCGCGATAAATTAACCGGAGATCCTGTAGAGACCGCATGATGCGCTCTCTAACGATTGGATCGCCATTATTTGGCATCACTTCATCCTGATAATCGTTATCAGTTTTCCTCTTCTTACATTCAGTACCAGTCCCATTTTCACCTTTCATTGAGAAGTTATACATAGCAGAAACTCTAACACCAGAATGAGCACTTGCATAACACCGCACAGAGCTTCTAGTTGCTGGAGTGCACTGTGTTGAACTGCCATCAAACCTGTATGCTGGACGATCAGGAGATCCATTATTGGAGCCAAAAACATCAGAGAATGATCGCTTGTACCCAGCCTGGAATCTCCATGGTACAACTGCCTTCTGTCCCTTGCGGACGTACGTTCCATTACCATTGCTGCCAGGAGTCGCCGAGCTGCAACCTTTGGCTGTTGCGTCATTCTCCTTGGCTACCCCATCTCCCATGCTACACCCCTCTGCGGCATGATAAGAGGAATCTCCGAAGCCAACATTTCCATCAGGGTCCTCTGACCTGAGTCCTGAAGCAGAACCATTGCTCTTTGACCCGGTCTGATCCACAAACGGCTTCTTCAAACCCTTGGCAGAGCACTTCTCTACTCCTACATTGATCTCAATCACCTCAGGGTCACAAGCTGCTCCATTGCCAGCACCCCTAAAATCTGGGGTGCGAGCATCCTTCGAACTACCATCACAGTTAGAGCTCCCCAGATTGCAGTCCTCTCCAGCGACAGCCTCGACGCCATCATTGGCACCCCTGCTATTTCCAGTACCTTCCAATGGGGAGCTCTTCAACCAGCCACCCCTTACAGACTTGCCCAGATTACATGCATTTCCGGGTCCAGGGCGACCACCATTGTCCACATCAGGGCTCTTCAAACTCTGACCGCGAGTGCATCTCTCAGATTGCTCCTCTCCTCCAACAACTCCCCCGCTCTTGCCGCTGCTCGGCGCCCCACCCGATCCGAAATTTTTCGCGTCGCAGAAACCGTTGGTTTCACCGCCAGCGCTCGGCGCCCCATCCGATCCGCGATTTTTAGCATCAGGGACGCCGGCGGTATTACCGCCACCGCCGTTGGGCGCTGCGTCATTGGCGGAGGCGGCGTGCTTGAGCGGCTGCCTGACGAAGCCGGGCTGGAAACGCCAGGGCACGAGTACCTTGTGCCTCCGCACGCCGTCCGCCCTCGGTGCCGGTTTCGCCGCCGCCGCCCCCATCTCCATCCAACGCCGCCGCTGTCCCGCTCGGACTCACCAGCAGACCCCCTCCGAGATCCCCTGCCCCCTGGACGCGAATTATAAAAAAAACAAAGGAACACGCGATGCCTCAGTTTTCAGGTGCTCAAATCGAAAATTGGGGGCCGACCAAGCGGGCGAGCCGGTAGACCGGAGTTCTCTCCGATGCGTACCTGGAGATGGAAGCGGCCCGCGGCGCGGCGGAACGGTTCCGGGATGGGGGCGGGGAGTAGAGAGCGACGGCGCAGTGGACGATTTCCTTCCTGAAATGGCGGAACTGGCAGAGAGGGTTGGGTGCCTGGGACAGCGCCTTCCCCCACTCGAGCGATGCAAGGCTCGCTCTGCCTCGAGACGAGCGGTGCCACGGGTTGGCCCAGCCCGGGCGGCAGCTGTGGAAGAGGGGCTGCCTTCCTGTTCCTGAGGCCCCTGTAGTCTGTAGACCTGTCCTGATCGGGAGCGGTCTGTGCGGTTTATATACAGGAACCCACCTTCATAAATCGTCGGATTCTCATTTTTAACGCGAGTAAAACCTCTGGACTTGGCTGCTTGGCTGATTCATAAATAGAGTCGGACATTCGGACTACGTAAATTAATTTTAAATTATTTTTGACCTGTAGTGATAGGAAGCTGTTTGTGGTCCGGTTTATGGGTCTGTTTGCCATGGCTCCACTCCTAAACTCCAGCAACTCCATAAAAAAATCCATCCAAACACCCCAACTCCAAAACTCTATGAAGCTGCCGACTCCATGGAGCTGTAGTACAAATAGAGGTGGAGTTTTAAAGCACCTCTTTTGCAGCTCCAAAACCACTCAATATGAACCTCCTCGT